TTGGTTTGTAAGTTTAAGTTTCAGTTCGAATGTGATACGATTCACATAGTGATTATTGTAAAGTGTTTAATTGTTGAGTTAGTTATTAAAGTAATTAGTGTCAGAGTGTAGGTATTGTTAAGTGGAATAAATTATTGCTGTGTTAATTGGACTTTGATTTTTAGAATAAGCGAAACGAACCCAAGATTTCTGTCACGCAAGCCAAAGCCGTGACAATAGCTACACATGTTAGCTACCACTCTTAGAAATCAAGAAAAATTAGTTTTGTGTAATGCCCCGCCGTATGAGTGTCTCAAAAAAGTTAAAAAACCCTAAAAAAGTCGTGATGTTTGTCAATTTTCGATTGTAGTCTCTACACGGTTGCTTGTGCCGCTTCGAAAACAGCTACACATGTTAGCTACCACTCCTAGAAATCAAGAAATATTAGTTTTGTGTAATGCCCCGCCGTCTGAGTGTCTCAAAAAGATTGAAAATCCTAAAAAAGTCATGATTTTGGTAATTTTCGATTGTAGTCTCTACACTCAGACGGCGGGGCATTATACAAAACTAATTTTTGTTTATTGCTAGGAATAGTTGCTAACATCCATAGTTATTTCCAATATAGCACAAACAGCCCCCAGATTTTATGAGAATCCGGCCGGTATAGTTAAAAGTAGGCCTAACCGCGATTCGTTAGTTTTATGGCTGAGATTTTATGGATAAGTTCACACTAGCGATTGCTTTGGTAACGGAAACGTACGTCGCATTATTGTTTTATTATTGGTCAGGATTTTTGACACGACATTTTGTCTGCATTTTGACATTAAAGTTTATTGACAAAATTAAAGAAAAATATTGCTGAAGACCCGATATTTTTGGAGTTTTTGGTTGCTCTTCAATTATAAATTGTACTCCTATACGTCCCTTCATTTTGTTAGCAATTTGAAAGTGCGGCTGCAAGACCAAGCGGATATGGTCTGGGACCCAACTCGGATACGTCCGGTTCAAAATGGATTTTTGAATCACGCAAAAAGTATATTTGAATGTGCAGCGATAATCAACGGAGAGGGAACAAATAAGGAAACAGAAAATGCTGTTCCTAAAAACAAAGATCATTTAAAGTTTAGTCACAAAGTGCTCGGTAACAAGCTAAAAAAATATCCGGCTGAATCTGAGCTCTCCTGGTATTACCAAATTACTTACAATAATTGCCTGATGGGTGGGAAAATTTCCCGCTTAGTATTTAGAATTTCTCGAACCGAGTGTAACTACCTGCAATTCATGCTATTTCTAGAGCCCATAATAGGTTCTGTAATTTCTTAATTGCTTTATTTTTATAGATGTTATTTTAATCTAATGTTGTTCAAATAAAAATTTGTGATTGAGTTTATTTTTATACAGTGAGCAGGTAGAGGTTGGAATAAAATCCATAAAATATACAGGGTTGGTATTTTTTCAAAAACCTCGGACACGTCGATTTTTGATTTTAGGGGTCATTTTCTAGATGATAATTTCATGTATACAGCGTGACTCAAAAACAAGTTATGACAGCTAGCTTTATTTTTTTAAATAAAAACGCCCATTTTTTATTTCATTTTCAAATTTTGTGTTAAATTCTGAACCTATTTTATGTATCATGCCCTATACCTATCTTTAACTGTTTCGGAAATATTGACAGTTGAAAAAATTTAAAGCGAAAATGATATTACAAAAAAACATGTTGTAAGTTATTGTACTTAGGGCCGGTTTATTCACCCTCTGATAAACTCTCAGGTATGCAATCTGACAGATAAAAACGCAATCCGTAATCCCATTGGTCGGCCAGTTATCCGCCGACCAATAGAATTATAGAACGTTCAATTTATCTTGCAGATAGAGAGTTACTAGCAAGATGAATAAACCCAGCCTTAGTCCAATAATAATAATTGTGAATTGGAACTTTTTTATTTCATTTTCAAATTCTGTGTTAAATTCTGAACCTATTTTATGTATCATGCCCTATACCTATCTTTAACTGTTTCGGAAATATTGACAGTTGAAAATTGACTTTTTTGCATCTTTGACCAGGTAAAACTTAAACTTAACTTAATTTTAGAGCAAAAGCGATCATACCTGCTTGTCAGTTTTCCATAAACTATCATTTGACCCCGTGACGGTAACTTTGAATTGAATCTATGATTAGAAACTCCGGTTAAATTTAATATCCGGTTAAATTCAAAGTTGGTGTCAAATGATCGACGTGTCTGAGGTTTTTTGAAAAATATCAACCCTATATAAATATTTTATTCAAACCTTTAAGTGCTCACTCTGTATAATAGGTAGGTTCTTAATAGTGAAAAAAATTAATGTACAATTTGTAGACCAAACGTGACCAAACCTTAAAATTAAAAATTTCATTTTTCTTTCCTTTCTACTTGAAAAAATTTAAAAAATACATTCGCTTATTTTCATATTTTGTTCAAAGAGCCGTTCCTTCGGTGTGTTGCTTCTTTGCGATTTTCCATTTTCCGATGGGATTTTGTTCCTTCTGATAACGTTAAAAGAAAATATAGAGAAAAACTGTCAAGTTTTGTATTTAAATTTTTTTTCTATGTTAAATAGTAAAGGCTGTAGGTATGGGCTTGAATATATTCAAATACCCTGTATGTAATATGTAATAGAAACTAAATATTAGGTTTTGCAGAACAATATTTTCATATTCTATTTGACATTCAAAGTTAACAATTGAATATACTGCATACCAGTTGCTGGTACAACAAATATATCTATCGAGCACGTCCTTTTTTTATGGAATAAACTTATCTGGAGGGTTTATTTTCCTGGTACTTCCTCTGAGTGGTGCTTCAAAAACTGACCAACTTGGAACTTTGTTTTCATATTGCAAAGCATCACTTTCTACTCCTTCTCCTGAATTTCTGGTACTGGTATTTTCTACTCCTTCATTGCACCGACTTCGCTCTTCTATACTATGGATAAGAATTATATTGGATTTGCAGTTGGGCATTATAATTTTTCCGCAGAGGTTTAATTAATTGCCTATTTCTTCTGAAGGTTTTACCTTCCATATCCTTAACCACATAATCATTGGTTTTTTCTGAGCTTATAATCAGTCCTGCATTCCATTTTTGATTTTAATTTTTGAACAATACAGATTGACCAATAACAAGTTGAGATAAATTTATTGTGCTTCTATTATAATAGGTTAGAAAATTTATTATCTTCTTCTCCAACCAAATTCAATAAGATTGCTATTCTAGTTTCATCATCTTTTTTATTAGCACCATTGGCCTTCATATATAAATTTAATTTCTGAACCCAGATCTTCCAATTTTAAGATACATTTCCCATGGAAGTCCATTACTCCTGGAGCTCTAGCAAAATTTTCCATCTCGGAGAAGCCGGTAGGTTTACGCTGCCACCATGTAATATGGACTAGAAACTATTAGGTTTTGCAGAACAATATTTTTATATTCTATTTTGACATTCAAAGTTAATCTGTGAAGCTAACAATTAAATATACTTCATACCAGTTGCTGTTACAACAAATCAACTTTGTTTTTTCAAATGAAACACCCTGTATGTGGCTGCATATTTAGATTCTACGTAAAATTTTGAGCAGATTGCATGTGATTATACCCTATACCTAAGTTCAACTGTTTTGGAAATATTGACAGTTGAAAATTGACTTTTTTGCAACTTTGACAGGCCGTATAACCTAAACGGTTAATTTTAAAGGAAAACCGATTTTACATCTAATCTTAGACTTCCATAAACTATCATTTGACAACAACACCGACTTTTCCATTTTTCTAAAATGTATTGTTGAAATAATGATAAATGACGATTATTTCAAATATAATGTGGATTCGTTTGAACTGATATTAGGAATTATTAGCGTGATTATTTCATTCATAAAAAAAAAACCCATCAGGCAACGTCATTTTTTGAATGAATTTTGTTTAAATAAGTGATTATTTCACAAGACCTTGTTTATCAGCGATTAAATTTTTGTTTACCTTTTTTGACAGAATTTTGATAGAAATATTCTGACATTTTATAATAAATAGAACTCTTTGGATAGGATTGAGGCCAACAATTCAATCCTAATTATTCAGGAAATAATCTAGCCGTATACCACTCGACCTATAAATTGAAATGGATTAAACTATCCAAATATTTTTTGCATAATTTTGCTTTTTGGCAAATAGTTTCATGCACAATAACTTTTAAATAAAAGCCCTCGACCGCTTCGCGGTCACGGGCTTTTATTAAGTTATTGTGCATTCAACTATTTTCCAAGCAAAATCATGCTCAAAATATGTTGGATAGTTTAATCGATTAAATTTAAAGCTCTTGTGATATAATATATGAATATTTCCCTCATGTACATACAGTGTTATATGGAGAGTGGCAAAAAAGTCGCACCTGTAACTTTTTAATCACCCCGTATACGAAAAAGTGACCTCAATGAAAGTTGCTCAGTAAAATTATTTCCTGCTTTTCTACGTGGACGAATTGTTTCTGTCGCTTCTGGTTTGTTTGCTATTTAGGCCAACTTTGTTTTTTCGAACGAAACACCCTGTAAGTGATTGCAGACATTTATTGAACCCTTTTTGTTCGCGAAAGTTTGCTGCAAACTAAAGGGAAGCCAAAAAAAAAAATCGGAATAAGATGCATTGCAGTTTAGCAATGTAAAAAATCTGACCGTTTTTTAACTCAGTTGTGATGAAGTCGTTGAAAAAAATTGAACCACCGCTCGAGAAAAATTTAAAGCGAAAATGATATTACAAAAAAACATGTTGTAAGTTATTGTACTTAGGGCCAGTTTATTCACCCTCTGATAAACTCTCAGGTATGCAATCTGACAGATAAAAACGAAATCCGCAATCCCATTGGTCGGCCAGTTATCCGCCGACCAATAGAATTATAGAACGTTCAATTTATCTTGCAGATAGAGAGTTACTAGCAAGATGAATAAACCCAGCCTTAGTCCAATAATAATAATTGTGAATTGGAACTTAGATTTTTTTTTTTTCAACTGAATTCAAATCGTGTCTCTGAATTGACTAGACAACAAACAAAGTTAATCTAACTTATTTTTTTAGATTCGAAGAAAAACCAATGCTCTGGAACAGCATAATAACCTCAGCCACGACAGTCTTCAAAACTCAAGAAGGCTTGGATATGGTGTCCGAACTCTACTTGGAAAGGCAAACCGAATTTGGAAATGCCGATTTTGTAATCGAAAAAGCTTTAAAAAACATTAAAGAAGAAACGAAATGGAGTAACGAAAATTTACCCGTGATCGAAAAATGGTTGGATAATTATTTGAAGGAGAATCAAGCGAAAATTGATGAATAGAGCTGGTTGGTTTTAGTATAATATTTTTGTAGATACATGATAGAGTATTATATTTCGAATAGTTAATAATTTATATGTTATTTTAGATTATACGTACAAGCAGAATATATTATTATGGTTTTCAAGACTTTGTACAAATTAACCTGACAATAAATAAACACCTGTTTCCCAAAAAATGCTTTTGTGTCTAACAAAACCTCGAAAAAAAAATTCGATTATTGGAATGATAAATTAATAAAATTATTGCGGCAATACTAATTAACATGAATTGCTAATAAAACTAGGCTCGTTTTATGTTTGAAAAAAAGGTTTATGGCGAAATAACTAAATTACCCACCTATTATGATAGTTGGGCTTAACAACTGTAATACTACACTCGAATTGATAGAATTTAAAAATAAAATCAATTGTTAATATGTATTATTATGCAATTATTAGATTAGAACAATTTCAATCGTGAAAATTTGCCTGGTGAGATAAATTGAAGTTAGTGCTGTAATAAAGATTTTTATTCAATTATTTTTACTTGCATAATAAATTAATCGACGTGAAAACCTTAGCCAAAAAAGCAATCATCAGGCTTGTCACATTTTGCCATTTGCTTCATGACAGTCGTTGTTTGGCAAACATTTTACAACAAAAATTCAGGAAACTTGTGTGCGTCAAGTGCATTATACAATATGTACCTAATTAATTAAATTCTCACCTACCATTTACACACGATATGCCAATTACAAACACTATTTGGAAAAATTAGTAGAAAAATGAGATGGTCTATTATATTATTTTATAGATAATTACATTACATTTTAAAGGAATCCTCTCCAACTTAGCAGTAGGTAAATTTTTGAGACTCAATATCTAATAAGTACCTAGGTAGGTACCACTAATGGTTGTAATCGTTTTTTATCTCTCAAGCTATTAACAAAATTGTTATCTGAGGATGTATGTACTTATTAGAATCCGCTTAGGGGAATAATGAAACCTAAAATAAAGATTAAAGCAAATTACAATTTATACAATGAGATAATCACCAGTTTATCAGGGACTGCATTAAATAAAACCGTCTCGACTCGACCTATTCCCCCACTTTTATAAATCGTTTAGTCGCCGAATTGTTTTGATATTTCGATGTGTCTGAGTAAGTAGTTTGTTTTCTATCCAAATCGGTATCGGTACACATAGTACCCAATCGTTACAGTAGTAGTAAGTACCGCCGCTTGATAATAATGGCAAAATCGAAAGTGAACAATGTTGGTGAACTATTAAAACCATCTTTAGGTGACGATTTCGAAGTGATAAGTGAAGATACCTCACTCTTAACCGCGCCAGGTGAACATTATGGAAGTATTATGCTCGCGTTGAAAGTTAAAATTAAACGAAAAAATTCTGGCAAGGTTGAAGACCTCGATATTGTTGCCAAATTAATTCCTGCAAATGAAATGTTACGGCTCGCTTTTGATATACCGGTCACATTCAAAAAGGAAGTGTTCGCTTATAAAGAAACTATACCAGCTCTAGTGGAGTTTCAAAAGGAATACGGAGTGCCGGACTATAAATTACATGACAATTTATTTCCAAAATGTTTAGGAGCTCGACTGAGTGTAGACGAAAACAAAAACATTGTAGACGAAGACGCAGTGTTACTATTTGAAAATTTAAAAATTAAAGGCTTCGTGACAGAGGACCGACTAAAAGGTTTCGACTTGAGTGCCACAAAAATAATTTTGCCCGATTTGGCAAGATTTCACGCAGTACCCATAGCTTTGAGAATCCTTAAGCCCCACGTTTTTGAAGAAAAAGTTCTGCCAGCTACAGTTTCGAACAAAGGCTTAGAACAACTACCTGAAGAAGTAGGTTTATCTTTTATTACTGCCATTTTGGATGGAGCTCGTGAAGTACCAGAATTGGAGCCATTCTTGCCAAAAATACAAAAACTTGTGGATGAAGATCAGGAATTTTCTTATATCCTTAGAAACCATGACGAGGATTTATGGGCCTCAATAAGTCACGCAGATTTTTGGGTAAGCAACACAATGATTCGCAAAGACAAAAATGGAGTTACAACTGAAAACAAAATTGTGGATTTGCAATTGATGAGATATTGGAGCTGCTGTGTTGATTTAGTATTCTTTTTGTTCACTAGTGTAACAAATGACGTTCTAGACCAACATTTCGACGACTTTTTGAAACTTTACCACCAAAGCTTTTTGGATGCTCTAGCAGATTTCAAAATTGATTTAGAACCATTTTCCTGGGAAAATTTTCTCGAGGAGCTAGACACCGTAGCTCCTGGGGAAATGTTTCATGTGTTATTGATGTTGAAACCTATTTGCACTGAGAAAGGAAAAGTGAAGAACAGTTTGGAAGACTTTCAGGATACTGATTGGAGCAGGCAGGATTTGTTGGGGCCCCATCATAGAAGAAAGCTACGTGATACTGTTTTAGCAATAGATAAGAGAGGTTGGCTATGATAGGTGGGAGACTTTTGAATTTATGGCAATTTAATAGGGCATTTTATTTTAGTAGAAACGTATTGTAGGTACATGAATGTCTTTTATTTGTATGTATGTATTGTTGTTTAAATTAGCAATTAATGAAAAAAACAAACTGTAGAATAAAATTTGTATAAAAATGTGAATTGATAAAAACTACCTTAATAAAATGATAAAAAAAATTAATATTTCTAGTTTTGATAATAGGCTACTGATTTTGATTTGCACAACTTTGGTAACCTCAAAAAAAACTATTTGACTACTCACGCAAGAATATTCTTTACAACTTTAAAGTTTACTAAAATATTTTCGATGTACATAGGATACATGTAAGATCAAATAACAAAGAAATGTGGAGATAAAGAGAGATTCTTGGCTTTTAAAATATTATCCAACGAATCAAGAACTGGTAGTAATCAAAATATGGCTTATCGGCTCTTGAATTTTAAATTGCCTTCAGAAATTTTAGGCATCTTATCCAGTAAACGGTATTATTCAACGTTTTTACAATTATTACTAGCTCTTGATTCTTCATTTGCCAAATTATCCAAAACGAATCAGTAATATTAAAAACTATCACTAAGCCTTTACGGAAACGCTGATCCGATTAACCTGATCTACAGCTGATGAAATTTTCCTTCTTTTAATCGTGTTGTGATCGGGTTAATCGGGTCAGCGTGTCCGTAAAGGCCTACTGGCTCTTTATTGCCCCTAGAAAAACGTCTTCTACTGACTTCAACCCAGTAACCCCAATAAAAGCAAAAATATTTTTATTAAAATCTATTAGTTATCAGAACATTCTATAAAAAAGGCACAATCAAGGCCAATAACAAGGAAATGTGAAGATTAAGAGCAAGGATATAGACTATCTCCGATAAATGTATTAATATTATTATGTAATTATTAAGCAAGTACCAAACAAAAAACAAGACACTCTTTCGAATTAAGTATTGGATTTTTTATTTTTCCCACACTTATCTTTTAAACTAGTACTCAAAATATAACCTGTGGAGTGCAATACTTTTTCAATTATTCAGTTCAAAGTTTAAGGACCCGCAATTTATTATGTTAAAAACAGAGACGGGCTTGGCTTGGAGCAATTATAACTTATCTTACATCATCTTCTGTTATCTTACTAATGAAAAGTAACCTATGTCATTACCAATATGCATAGTAGATATGCGTAGTTGATTACAAAATACTACCCAATGGCAAAAAAATCCATTCATTTTCATTATTATTTCACTTATCATCATTGGCGTTCACTTTCATTATCATTTCATATTCCAATTATATGATTGCAGGGTAGATTTGTGACATAATTCTCAAAGGACCTCGCACATTTCTTATGGAAAATGGCTTTCGGCTAAATTTTCTGAAAATTTGAGATAATGTAGTTCTCGATGTCCTGATTAAAAGTTCTCATGGGCACAACTTAATCCTATGATCAGTTTTTGAGTTATGTGTTATCAAAATTGGCTTTTTGAGACTTCGAGATATTGATTTTTTTTCAACATATTTGTTTATATTTCCTCCATTAGCACATTTAAATTAAAAGTTTCTACTCTAAGTTTTAGGTGTTTTGGTGACTTCTTAAAATGTGGTATAAAAGTTCCTACAGCGTCTTACACAAAATGGTGGCGGCAAAGAAATGTCAATTTAGAAAAAGTCGCAAATAACTAAATTCGATCAATTGTGTAGAATACAAAAACGAACGGCTAGATTTTGCCCTATTTTCAATATGTTGTTATCAAAAGTATACTTAAGAATACCTACTATAGTTTTGGATCCAGAATGTTATACCAGGTGTTCATTTTGTACCATGGCCCCGGTGTAGATGGTAAATGCCGACTGCAAGCGGGTTTCTAGTTCAAATGCTGTTTCAATGGGCATTATTCATTGTTTTAAGTTCAACGTAGGAATGGAGTTCACTAAAATTGATACTATTGACTAAGCGTACAAAACATAGAATAGTCTCACCTTTTTTAAAACTGTACAAATAACCATTTTCAAATATAGCGTAAGAAAAGAGTGCCATCAAACTTATGCCCATACTTAAAACTAATAATCTCCATTGCATAACTTTAGACAATGAGTTGATGCTACTATGAGTTAAAACGTTGAAAAATGTTAATAATTGCTGGATGTAGAGGAGACAAGCTAAAAATTATACTCTACCGATTACCGGCATCCAAGACTATATCTAGTAAGGCAGTAGATGGATAGCGAATTTGTTCTTGGAGCCTTGAGTATCCTATATACCAAATAAAAGAGGCTACATGAGCACAGCAACCCAATGTCCTGGCACCAGATCGGCAGGTGCAATAATAGCTTGTAATAGGATCTTGATCTTGATGATTAAATGCTATCCATAACTGGTAACGAGTTGCATTTCTATGCCGAGAATAAATTCGTAAATGAACGAGTTGTGGGTCGTCAATTAGTATATTAATTTGAAATTTATTGCGTTCTCCTTGTCTTTGCAGTGTGTCTTGAATATAGGAAGGCGCCAGATTTATTTGATATGTACCAATGGTTAGATTTCCTAAATACTCTATCGTTAGATGTGGAAAATTGGGAAGGTCTTCAATATTGATGGCATTCCATCTGGCATGTCTGCGTTGCCAATGCTCTTCTTCAATGCGAATTTGCAAGTTATTAATTTGTTCTGACTTTTGCAACATAATATTTGCAAACTCAACATTATCATCAGGCATACTAATACTCATGATACCTGTTAATAATAGCCCCCGCGATCTTTAAAAAGTGTTTAAAATTGATGGCATGATGAAATGAGAGTGTTTTAGCAAAAAAATTAAACATTGACTTCAAATGACCATTTCTTGCTTCAACTATCCATCTTGTTTTTGTAACTAGGCGGGACTCATTGGCCTCTTCGGTGGTAAGTTGTTGTTGTCCTCTTGGTAACAAAGGAGGCATTCTGTGGTCTATTCCTAGTTCATTTAAAAGTGGAATCACGTCCCTGTAGCCCCTATCGACAACAAACATGTCACCATTTTGAAACCAAGCTCTCAAACCAGCTATCCCGTTCAAACTCTCTACTTAAAATAGCAGCATCATTATTTTGGCTGTCAGAAAAATATGGTCCCTGAATATCTAAAATATAACCATCTGGTGCAACTATTAGAGTAGGTTTCAACAAATGTTTGCCTTTGTGCACACAGTAAGACTGGCGAAGTACCCTAAAGTTACTGCTCTTTTCTATGGGGCTATAAGTTCCATCTACATAAGCAATTGCTATTGGTATTTCTGGATTAGGATTGTAAAGTTGATTGGAGAAGTCTGTTACATGTCTGTTAATATATTCCTGTCTACCAATAGCCTCAAATCCTATATTTTGGGGCACAAAATGTTCGGAGAGACTTTGTCGCACTATTGAAATCGCCATACTTGCATTCTGTCTACTTTTGTATTTGAACAAAACACACAAAAACTCATCCGATAAACCATGGCGCAGTTTACATAAAAAGGATAGCAAGTTCTTTTTGCTTATTGACCTAAAAAAAAGGATCATATCAGAGTATGAATACCATAAGGTTGTAAGCTGGGTATTATATGATAAGCATACATTATTTACCGGTGCGTGCTTTGGAAAAATTGCTTTAAAATTGAAGACTATACAAGAAACTGTCACATATTACATCACATCTTGAAGTTAGAAGCCTACACCAAAATATACTTTTTAATTTTTTATCTCTCTTCAAAAAACATGCATTGGTATTTACTGTTTTTTAGGAGCTTCAATTCACTGAGCAAACGTACATGTAACTGACCTTTCTGCTAGATTTTCAGTACGAACAGGATGACAAAATGTGTATAAATCGGTAAAATGTTCTTTACTTAAACCAACAACACTCCTGAATTCCTCTTCGTTGAGGTCTTTCTCACAGCATTGCCTTTTGTTAACGCCTCTTGCAATTGAGCGAATTTCTTGCAAAAAAATCACCAGTTCCGGTCCCGGAACTAAATATGGCTGATTAATAATAGCATTTGAACTTGAAACCCGCTTGCAGTCGGCATTTACCATCTACACCGGGGCCTTGGCACAAAATGAACACCTGGTATAACATTTTGGATCCAAAATTATAGTAAGTATTCTTAAGTATACTTTTAATAACAACATATTGAAAATAGGGCAAAATCTAGCCGTTCGTTTTTGTATTCTATACAATTGATCGAATTTAGTTATTTGCGACTTTTTCTAAATTGACATTTCTTTGCCGCCACCATTTTGTGTAAGACGCTGTAGGAACTTTTATACCACATTTTAAGAAGACACCAAAACACCTAAAACTTAGAGTAGAAACTTTTAATTTAAATGTACTAATCGAGGAAATATAAACAAATATGTTGAAAAAAAATCAATATCTCGAAGTCTAAAAAAGCCAATTTTGACAATCCATAACTCAAAAACTGACCATAGGATTGAGTTGTGCTCATGAGAACTTTTAATCAGGACATCAAGAACTACATTATCTCAAATTTTCAGAAAATTTAACCGAAAGCCATTTTCCATAAGAAATGTGCGAGGTCCTTTATGTTTTGTGCGTAAATAATTTTAATTTGAAGATTTAAAAAAAAATAGATTCCTTTAAAATAACTTGAAGAATTAAGAATAATTTCCTTTGAAAATCAATTTGAACAACAATCAAAAATGCAAACGTATTATTTCCCTTAATACTTTGAACAAACCAATTTCTGTAATTTTCAGCTAATGAGATATATTTTGGTCGTTAAACTATTAACAACCAAAACTTCGTGGCAAATTAAATATTACTGGACAAATGTAAGACGGAAATCCTAATTGAAATAAATGTAGAAATTGGAGAAACTTAACTAGGGAAAATGATTTTGAGGATAAAAAATTGAGGCTGTAGTTTTAAAAGTATGAAAATATTAGTTTTTATTATATGTCATGTCGAAATAGTATATTCTATAACAAGTGTGGAATAAGCAAAATTCTACACGAACGGCTATTCGAGTGTAGAATTTTGAATTCTACACGTGTTTTAGACTATACTTTTCCTACGACTTCAAATCAAACAACGGTGACAACCAATGTGAGTGTGAAATGACTGACATGAACATTGAAATCATATTTTTTTTTTCAGGGAATGACTACCCTATTATAGCTTCACTGTCTGAGGTATCTAGCTAAAACTAATT